ATCGGGCGGTTGGTTTGGCGTTGACCCGGCTGGCGGGATTAGTTGCGTGCCTCCACGAGCGATGTCACTGCTACTGCGAATCCTTTCTGCCGTGCAACTTGATTTCGATCGAATTGCCCGTGCCGATTCGACGAACATTCTCATTTCTGCTGATACACCTGGGTTTCGCATTCCAATCAATACGCGCGTCAAATTTCTACCTCATGCGCTGGCGCCAAGCGGCCAGAGGTGGTTTTTCACCCGGTCTTATCGACTTCGAGATACGAATTATCTCGCGACTTCCAAGTAGTCGACCGACGGTTTAATTGTTCTTCCCTAACATCTATTACGCCTTGTCAATTAGCATAAGGGCCCACGCTTGGGGTTTCATCTATTGCATTGCGGCTTGGAACCTTTGGCTTCCTTATTTCTCGCTTAACGGCGTTTTTGGGTTCATTGCACAGCTGCTTTAAGCATTGTTACATTATGACGACTAGTTCTAACTAATAATGGATAAGCCTGGCTTCATCTAGCTTGGTTTGCGACCTAAGGTTATCGTATTTTTGTTTCGAATAGGTACGGTTAACTAGTTGCCTCTAAAACATTTGAGATATAATATCAAAACTTGTAGTCGAAAATCTGCGAAATATGCTTCGTTGATTTGCAAATCATCCCTTTTAACCCATTTAATCAAGCATGCAGCCGAAAGAACCGGTAATGGCCTACGTCATTCCAGGTGACTTAAACGAACTGCTCATCTTAAGCCATTTTGTGGTTGAATAATTCAAGCCAATGCGCAAATGTTTACCCGTGTTCCGAGGATCCTCTCATGATGATCTTGCGTCTGATTTCTGATTTTCAAATAATGTGGACGCTTAGCAGCTGGTTAGTGTGCAGGGCCGTAACCATATCTGGATCTCATTCGAGAGCGGAGTTGTGCTATTTTTGCTCGAATTTTTCCTTATCTACTTATCTATTATCAACCAAGTAGAATGCAAATGGGCAGCTTGCAGCCTCCCGACTTGATTATCATGCTTAGAAACTCATATTTCATTATCTCAACTATACTTTTCTACGGACCTAAACAGTCTCAGTTAGATTTTCACCTGGGTTATTAGGTCTTAAGGATCAGAACATGATGTTTAACCTTTTACAAGTCTGATTTAGGAACTGTATTGCATATAGGCACTAACACAAAAATATACATACTCATACAATCGAGCAAAAATAACAACC